ATAGAGTGATCCAAGAGGGGGAGGATGAAGATACCCAGGGATACAGACAGGAATGGAGCCACCCAGCGACTACTTATTAACAACTCCTTGCTGAGGGGAACAATTCCCTGGAGGCAGGTAACCTCCGCAACAGTTTGCAGGAGGGGAAAGTGCTCTGGAAGTATTAGCATTTTATTTTCTCTTGAATCAACCCCCATCTTCCTGATCCAATCCTTAATTACCTACACTGACTGTCCTTGTGCCCCAGCCTCACAAGGATGACAAATTTTGATATTAAGTGCAACAGTTTAGTTATGCACTGTCTGGACCCTCTTCACTGCTAAACTACATCCTGGCTTATCCTTTCTGCAAGCAAACATTACATTGTTCTATTTCACTTTTTTTAAAATGTCAGTTGTATTGAAGTTTAATATATACATAGTAAAATTCACCCTTTTAAATACATAATCCTCAGTTACAAACACATAGTCAAGTCACTGCCATCTTATAGAATCCCTCAATGACCATAGAAAATGTCTATGCCCTTTCATAGTCAACCCTTTTCTGTATCTTTAGTCCCAGGMAAACACTGACCTGTTTTCTGTGACTAGAGTTGGACCTATCCATATTATCTTTGCTTTTGCCTTGGCAACCAGTTGCAGGAGAAGGGGTAAGGCTTTGGAGACATTGCATTTTATTTCCTTTCCTCTTGARTCAACCCCCATCTTTCTTTCTTTCTTTTCTTTTAGTTGTAGATGGACACAATACCTTTATTTTATTTTTATGTGGTGCGGGGGATCAAACCCAGTGCCTCAYGCATTGCAGGCAAGTGCTCTACCACTGAGACACCACTCAGGCCCCAGCCCCTATCTTTTTGATCAGGCCCAATTATTACCTACACTGACTAACCTTTTGCCCCTCCTCTCAGAATCATTCAGCATGTAGCCTTTTACATCTGATTTCTTTCACTTAGCCTAATGTAACTGCAATTCATTTATGTCACAGTGGTTATCTGAACTTTGTTCCTCTATATTGTGGAGTAATTTTCCATTTATGAATGTACCACCCTGATTATTCATTCACCAGTGGAAGAAATATTTGAGTTGTTTCCAGTTTTTAATGATTTCAAATAAAGCCACTATAATAGCTATAAGAGATCTTTGTATAAGCTTTCATTTATCTCAGGTAATTATCTAGGAGTGAGCTGTTAAGTAGTATGATAATCATATACTTARCATTTTTTGAGACAATGAATTGTTTTCCAAAGTGATTGTACCATTTTGCATTCCCACCACCAGCTCATGAGAGTTCTAACTGCTCTGTATCTTTAGCAGTGTTTTGGGTATGGGGGGGAGCACTTGAGTGTGTGGTAATCTTATTCATTCTAATACAGGCATTGAAGAATCTCACTGTAATTTAARTTTCCATTTTTCTAACAATTCATGACATTTAGCATATTTTCACGTACTTATTTTCCATTCAACCTCTTTTTAGTGAAATATCTATTCAATTATTTTAACCATTTATTTTCAGTTGCTTTATTACTGAGTTTTGGAGAATTTTTATATATTCTACATCCATTCCCTTATCAGATAATGTACTTTGCAACTATTTTCTCCCAGTCTTTTTATTCTCTTAGCATCTTGGTTAGCTTGGACTCTATAAAAAAAATACCGCAAACTTTGTGGCATAAACAAGATATCTCTTTCTCATAGTTCTAGAGTTTGTTTAGTCAATGATCAAGGTGCTGGTAAATTCAGTCCAAAGTGAGGACTTTCTCCTGGCTCCTGTATAGTCAACTTCTTGTTGTACCTGGAGGATTGGGGCCAGAGTAGAAGGATTCTGATCTCTTCTTATAAGGGCCCTAATCCTACAAGAGCTCCCAGTCTTATGACCTCATCTAAGTTAATTAGATGTCCCCATTAGATTAGTCCTCATTTTCAAATTATCTCATGTTAGGGGGGAGGGTTTCAATATATGAATCTGAAAGTACCACACAACTCAATCCATAGCAATTTCTCTTGAAGAGAATGAATTTTTTAAATTTTTAAAAAATGTTTTAGTTGCCAATGGATTTTTTTACTTTGTTTATTTATATGTGTTGCTGAGGATTAAACCCAGGACCTCACACATGCCAAGCAAGTGCTCTACCACTGAGCCAGAACCCAGTCCCATGAATTTTTAATTTTGATAATATMCAAGTTACCAATTTTTCTTTTAAGGATCATGCTTTTGATGTCATGCTGAGAAATCTAGGCCTAACTCTAACCCGAATCGCAAAGATTTTCCTCTAGAAATTTTATACTTTYATATGTTTTTCTATCTACAATTCATTTTGTGTTAATTTTTATTTATGGTCCCAAGTACCATTTGAGGATCTTTTAATTTCTTGTGTATATGTGTGTATCCTCTGAATTTTTCATGTGAAAAAATTATTTTGACTATTTTCAACCTTTGTCTATCCAAATAAATTTTCGAATCAGGCTAGTTATCAATTTCTACCATTGTGGGGAATAGGGATAGAAACAAAAAACCGTCTGGTGTTTGGTTGGGATTACACTGAATGTATATAAATCAATTGGGAAATAACTGTCATCTTAACAATATTAAATCTTCTGATCCATGATCATAATATTTTTTTTAATTTAAATTTTAAGACTTAATAAGATGAACACATATCTTTTGCTAAATTTATCCTTATTTATGTTTTCTATGCTTTTATAGATGGTTTTAAAATCCAATTTTCTGATCATTCTTTGCTATATACAATTGACTTTGTATATTAACTTTGAAATTTATGATCTTGCTAAACTCATTTAGTTGTACTAGTAACTTTTTTAATGGACTTTTCAGGATACAGAATAAGCATATACTTAGAAGTAACTAAGCAAATAATGAAATAATAGTTCAAAGAATAAAACTGTCTCTCAAAGTAGAACTACTGATTAGAACTGTTAATGCAATTTTTGTACCCTCTGACTTTTTAAATAATGTACATGTCCATTGAGTGGAAATATAAATTTATATATTTTAAATACTCACCATCCCAAGATTTAGTCATTTGTTTTTAATTTTAATTATAGCTCTTTCATTTAGCAGGATTTTTCTTCATTTATATTTTATTTTTATTTGGTGCATGATGTACAAACATTTGAAATAGTATCTTTTTCCCTCTCATATTGGTAAATAACTTGTCTTAGCACAATTTATTTTTTAAATAGATTACTTTACTCCCCCAAAACACTTATGCGTGCTCTCAAGTCATAATTTATATGGGGATGTTTCTTCACAATTTGTCCTTGCCCTGGTATACTTCACTGATTTGAAACATAGTGAGAATAAGTTCTCTGGTGTGGAGGAGGTCATTTATGGAAAAAACAATGTGCAATGGCACATTGGTTTAGAGGGATCTTATAAACATTGGGTTGGAGTAAATAAATGAGTGCTGAAAGTGTCACCTAGATGAGGGCCCTGATGAAGTACTCCAAAAGGGAAGTGGACCTCAACTCAAGTGGTGAGGATCCTTTACATCCWTGCGAAAAGGAATTTAAAGATGGATGAATTTATTGAGAGAAAGAAAGAAGTGCACTGAGAATCAGGGTTTGGAGAACACATTAACTACTTCTTAACTGTTACAGGGCAGAGGCCCCTTTCACTCCAATTCTTTCAATCATGCCAGAAAGATTTCAGATATGTAGCTCAAAATAACACGCATAAATTTTTTTATATATTTTTTAGTTGTAGATGGACACAACACCTTTATTTATTTATCATTATGAGGTACTGAGGATCCAACCCAGGGCCTTACACATGCTAGGCCAGTGCTTTACCACTGAGCCACAACCCCAGCCCCCCCGACACGCATGAATTTATCAGAAGGAATTACAAAGAAAAAAATGGGAGACCTTCTCAAGGGAGAGACTGGGTTTTCTCAGAGGACAGGAAGGGCATGATCCTCCTACCCTCCAGTTTTATTGGGCAGGAATCCCAGGGAAGTTTCCAGAATCCTGCCCAGGTCCACCTCTTGACTTTTGACTGATGRCAGGATGACATTAAACTTTCAAGACCCCACAAGGGCATGACAACTCTGAGTCACTTTGGCCCATGCTGATTAGTTCTAATTGGAACCTGTTCTTAAAAGATTTTATGGTCAGGAGGAATTATCCTTATCTCCCTAGGTTCTGGGATCTGGTCTGTATAAGAGTCACGAAAGTCCACCCATCCCCACTTCAGGGTAACTTGTGTTCTTTTTTAATGGACATTTCAGACCTCCATTTCCCCTACAGATAATAGGCAGTTTGCTGAAAAATGTAACATATCTTGCTGACTTAAGCCAGGCAGGCTTCAGGCTTTTTAAAAGTGAAAGCACGTGGGGAGTGGGGGGGTCAGCACAGTGGGCCCAGTTTATAGAATTATTTCCTTCACCTCATGTTCCCACTACTAAATGTCTGTTCCCTATCATTAACGAGGCTTATTTACACAGGTAAGATCACTAATATAGGGATATGCTCTAAGAGGTCGTTTTTACTTCTTCTGTGTTGGTAACTGGGCAGGTCCCCCATTACCAGGATTAGGGGAGCCATTCACAGATAAGTTGATCATATCAGGATGGGGGGGCGCACTTACTGACAGGCGGTCCATTACTGGGATCGGGTATTATTTCCTTTCTTGTTTTTGATGCATTCTGCTTTTTGAACACAGCATTACAATAATGTGCCTGTAGATAAGGTCCAATAATTGATTTAATATTGCTGTTTGTAACCAAGGTATGTGAAAGTGACTTAAATCTGGCCACTGCTGCGTTGTCCCCCATGTCTCCTTCTTTATGTCTTCAAGCCTACCTCAAAAAAAGAGACGGTAAGTGGCCTTAGTTTAAATTGGTGGTCCGCCGTCCTCGAAGAGGAAACACAGCTTCACAAGCTGATAACCCAAGAGAGGTAGTGACAACCTGGACACAGACCAGAGACAGGGCGGASAGGTTCTTGTTTTGACTCTGSCGCCAGCACTAGCTCACACAGAGATTGGAGCCCGCAGGAGCGCAGGGAGCACGTCACTTCCTGCCCTGCCRGGCCCGCCCACCTGCGCTATGACGGCCAGCGCTGAGCCGCCTGGGCGGCGGMGGCCCGGGGTAGGGGTCGGAGTGGTGGTGACGAGCTGCGAGCATCCTCGTTGCGTCCTCCTGGGGAAGAGGAAAGGGTCGTTTGGAGACGGCAGCTTTCAGCTTCCAGGGGGTCATTTGGAATTCGGGTGAGCAGCCCCCGTTTCGACCCTGGAAAACGGAACGTGCGCTACAAGACACGTTCGCGCCATGCGTGCGCCGCGCACGTTCAYGTGCGCTTGTTCGCGCTGATGTCGCGTCGTTTCTCTCTCGTTTCCGGGTTCCTCTTTGCGCCCCGCAGGCGCCGGCCGCGAGGGGTCGCTGGGCTGAGGAAGGAAGGCTGACCTTGCTTGGTGGCTGCTGAGAATTGTTCTGTGAAAAGGGCTTCTTAGTGGGCATCACCGAGAGGACAGTGGGCGTTTCTAAACCTCGAGCATTCGAGTGTTGTCACCACATTTGCACGGTTCCCGTGCTATTTAGACGTGCACAGGTATATTTAATATCCACTGGTTGCGTTACACTCTGAGCAAAAGATCTAGTGAGACTCTGCCCCTCAGTTTCTTCGTCTTTAAAATGGGGACGGTGGGCGAAATGTTTTTTAACGTTCCTGTCTGCCTTGACATTCTGTGATTGTAAAATATATCAGACGGATATATCAAGATCATTGTATTGTCATGAGCAACTAATAAAAGGGAAGCGAGCATAATAAAAAAATAAACAATGAAAAAAAATAAAGTATATCAGACGGACAGAGGGAGTTGGGCAATTAAGTGTTCTACACGAAAGTGAAGAAAACATGGGTTGCAAAAAATGAATTCTGAAGTGAGAAGGTTAAAATCAAGAATAGTTAAACAGCGTCTTCTAAAGTCTCCAAATCCAGCGTGTTTTATCTTTAGTGTTTATTTTTGAAAATCCAGCATACATAAAATGGAGAAAMGAGTGAATCCTTAGAAACTCCACAGAGCTTGTTCTTGTTCCATCTAACTGCTCCTCCATTGCCCACCCAAAATACAGACCTCACACATCTCCTTTTGTAGGCAATGTTACGCGAAATCTCAGATGTTCCATTATATTATCCCTAAATAATTCAGTGTGATCTGCAAAATAAATTTATTTTATTTTTGGTACTAAGGCTTGAACCTGGGGTGCTTTACCACTAAGCTACATCCCCACTCCTTTTAATTTATATACATATTTTTTATTTTGAGACAGGGTCTCTCTAAGTTGCTTAGGACTGCACTAAATTGTTGAGGGCTGGCCTGGGACTTGGAATCCTGCCTCATCCCCCAGAGTTGCTGGGATTACAGATGTGGCCCACTGCATCTGGCTCAAAATAATTCTTTAGTATCTTCTGATAGTCTGTGTATGGTCCTCCTCGGTTTTCTTTAAAATGTCTTTTCACTCTTTTGTACCAATCAGGATCAAATGAATCATATTGCATTATTTCTCACTCTAAAAGTAATCCTCCATCCCCTTTTGCTCATGCCATTTATTTGTTGAAGAATATGGGGCATGTTTCTGAAGAATTTATGTAGTTATGTCCATGTTTTTCTAGTCCACTCATATTTCTTACAAAATGATAGTTAGAAGTATAARTCTGGGGCTGAGGTGGTGGCTCAGTGGTAGAGCATACCTAGCATGTGTGGCACTGGGTTCTATTCTCAGCACTGCTATAAACATATAAAATAAAGGTCCATCAACAACAATTAAAAAAAAAAAGAAGTAGTAGTAGTATAGGTCTGATGCTTAATCAGAATTTGTCCTTCATAAAATATAAAATTCATGTTCTTTTAGCATATACAGTTTTTTAAATGGTCTTCAGGATTTAAAAAAAGCATTGATGTTTATCATTTTCAGATAATTAACATAAACCATTAATACAGTTTCTTAGATTATGAACCAGTTGCTCACATAGCTACACATTGTATTTTGTTGATGTACAAGCTACACATTGTACTTTGTTGATGTACCAAGATTTATTATCCAAATTTAGTGGGATTATCCAAATTTAGATCACAAACTAAATACAGTCTAGAATTATAATTACTGGAGTAATGGCTAGAGATAACTATCTTAACATAAGAAAGTGTAGGAGTCTCAGTTACCAGGTGATCATAACATTGTACTTGAATGAAGCCCTAGATAGCATGCTAAGCTCCTCTCAGGTACCCTTTCACTTGATCTTTATATAACTGTATACTGAATGAGCTAACTTCGATGGGGGAGCAAGTAGAAAATTGGTTTCTTTTCTCCTTCCACAGTCTTCAGACTTGAGTTATCTTTTCCTATCTCTGTTTCAGTGACTTTTCCTGTAAATTCTATTATTTATTTCATTAAAAATCATGTTTTGGTTATTATGATTTATTTCCAAACATTTGAAAGTTCAAGCCAGTTTAAACCTTCAGTCTCACTTCTCATGTCTAATCCCTTCTGTGATGTGGAAATAAAAGCCATTGTTTTGCTCTTTCTCCATCTCTTCCTCTCCTCACTCTGCTGTTTCTGACTTTCCTTCTCCCGTGTGTTGAGGAGGAAGAAGGGGTGAACTTTTTATGTGACTAGGGCAGCTTTAATCCCTCCACTGGTGCCCTCTCTGTTGGTATCCACTATCCAAGTTCGTGCTTTCTTTCTTGGTTTGTGTTTGACAGTTGGTTGGAAATCCCACAAGGATTTTTGTCCTTGACAGGGACAACTTTTTTTTTTACACTGGTCCCCCTTCTCTAGCTCTTGCTTCTAGTACATCACCCTGCATTTTTTTCCTGCTAGGTCTTCTGTTAGATTACCCAGCAGTCTTTTGTGACATACACTTAGCCCAAAGGAAATCTGTAATAGAAATGATGATTTTTCACCGCTGCCCCCTTTCCTTGCTAAGCTTTCACGGAATGACCGCTCTAGCCAGTCTCACCTTCCAAATTCCTGAGGCAGGAAGAAGTGTCAACCTCTGTATTCACATGCATACGGAAAATCTAAGGAACACATTKCAGTTTTATACAAGAATTCTTACCCTTCTGTCACCCGTGCTCTGATGCACTGGGGTAGGGCTGGGTTTCTGCAGCTCATGATGTCTTTGGCAGGGACACATCAGTATCTCCTTCTTGGGAGTCATACCCAATCTCAACTGATTCTCCTGGAGAGTCTCTCATTTAGATGGTTGGAAAGAGTCTACCCCTCATTGGGAGGAGGAGAAACGTTCATACTAGGCTGAAAATTCTCAACTTTACTCCCTCCTAAATATCTCCTGCCTTTCTTACGTAGCCTGTGTGGGATTAGGGTCAGAAGACTAGCCTTACCTTCCTTAGCAAACCGGTGAGCGTGGATGACATGCTCTTCTGCTATACTCATGAGAATTTAGAGGTGCTAGTTGCCTATTGTCCTCCATTTTGAGGCTTAAACTGAAATTCTGTGAGTGTAGGAAAAGCCATAATATACTTCCATATACATTTATAACACCCCCATGAGAAGGTAATAGTCCTCTTTTTGCTAATCCAAAGTAGCAAGTAATGGACTTTCATATCCAGCCAAGATCTAGCTGACTACAGAGTCTTAACTAATACACTAAATTTCCCCCTGGTTGCCACAGGCTTACTTTCAGACCTATGAATTAGTGCTGAATTGGCTAAATGTTAATTTTTTTAAAACATGAAGTCCTTCTGGTATTTAGGTAACTAAATATAAGATGTACAGAATGTTGAAGGCTGAGTTGTTGATATGTCATTTTAAAGTATAAACTAATTGCAGTTGTATTTGCTTTGTGCTAGAAATTTCTAACCAAGTATTTCGTGGTAAAGAATTTTACATAAATAGAATTGACTACAATAGTACATTTCTGTTTTCCAGTGAGACCTGGGAAGAATGTGCTCAAAGGGAAACCTGGGAAGAAGCAGCTCTTCGCCTGAAAAATGTCCACTTTGCCTCAGTGGTGAATTCTTTCATTGAGAAAGAGAATTACCATTATGTCACTATATTAATGAAAGGAGAAGTAGATTTGACTCATGGTTCAGAACCAAAGAATGTAGAACCTGAAAAAAATGAAAGTAAGAGAATTATATATAATAATGCATTTTTCTTTGTGGAGGACGTATCATTGGAAGGAGTATTACATTCTGTTGCCATATGAAGAGGATTATATTTTCTTCATATTTGTGTTCCCCCAAAATTCATATGCTGAAATTTGTTACCCAGGTGATACTAACAGGAGGTAAGGCCTCCTGAATGGGATTAATACCCTTATAAAAAAGACTCCAGATAGACTCCTCACCCCTTCCTCCATAGGAGGATTCAGAGAGAAGATGGTTGTCTATGAACCAGGAAATGGGCCCTTGCCAGATACCAGATCTGCCAGTGTCTTGATCTTGGACTTCCAGCCTCCAGAACTCTGAGAAAATAAATTTTTGTTGTCTGTAAGATGCGTAATCTAAAGTATTCTAAAGTAAATCTAAAGTAATCTATAGTATTACAGCAGTCCAAACAGACTGGACAATATAGATATGTAGATATGCTAAAATCCTGAGGAATATAAGAAACCAGCTGGTTTGGGTTTGTGTCCTGGTTTTTTCACTCTGCACTATGACCTTGGGCAAGTTATTTAATGTCTGGGCCTCTTTTCTCATTTGCGGCAATAGTAACCCCTTTATATGGGGTATTATAAGGATTAAATGAGTTAATAAACGTATAAACCTAGTTGACATAATAAGTGCTCAGTAAGTGTTCATTTTTTGTGTGTGTGTTTATTTTTTTTCCCTCAGGTTGTGATTTTTAAGAAAATTTTTTTGTGTGTATGATTTCCTCAGTTTTCTCATCTACACAGGAGAAATAATACCTTCCTTTTGCAGAGAATGATTACTCTGACAAAGCAGTTGTCTGTTACCTTCTATATTAATTGAACACTCTGAAAGCTTTAATGACAAAAACATTGTTCTAAGGGCTTCATGTGTATCCTCTCTCCAYAAGAAACTAAGAAAGCCAAGCACAGTGGCTGATGCCTATAATCCCTCATACTAGGGAGAATAAGACAGGAAGATCACAAATTCAAGGCTAGCCTGGGCAGTTTAGCAAGTCCATGTTTCAAAAAATAAAAAGGACTGGGGATATAGCTCGGTGGTAAAGCACCCCTAGGTTCAATACCTTGTACCTTGTATAATTCAAGAAACTAAAGAAACAAATCAAAATCTTTAAATGCATGTATTTTTAATATATGGGTATATACATACACACTCCGAGAGGTCTCATGTACTGAACATCCCCTGTAAACATTTAATTTCTCCAAAATGAAGACATGGCAGAGAAGGGGAAAGGGAAGCAGCCACATACAGAAGAGATGTGTGCAAACAAGAGTACAAGAGGCCAGAGAGTGGCCAGGCTCACTCTTTTTATAACAATACACTATAGAGAACCTATGAGAAAAGCATTCATCCCTCTTRAAAACCTAATTGCCTCCCACTAGGCCCCACCACATAAAGGTTCCACCACCTTTCAGTTTCAGCATCACTATACAGGGGACCAAGCCTCTAGCATGGGATCATTTGTTAGATCCACTCATTCATATCAACTATAGCAATGGGTTTATTTGTAGTGTAATGATGCAGTCTCCTTCCCATGTTCCTCRGGTCCTGGATTTGGAGAGCCTACTTCAATTTACCATTTATTTCATCCTTCCAACAGCTGTGTGTTCATATTAGGAGAATCATTCAAACATTTTTTTAAATTTATTTTTTTGGAGTTAGATACAATACCTTTATTTCATCTATCTATCTATCTCTTTGTTTGTTTGTTTGTTTGTTTATTTATATGTGGTGCTAAAGAAACAATTCAAACCCAGGGCCTTGCAAATGCAAGACGAGCGCTCTACCACTGAGCCACAACTCCAGCTCCTCAAACATTTTATTTTCTAGGAGATGGGGGTAAACTCAGCACACATGCAATCTTTCACCTCACCCCACTCCAGGTACTGAGGAYAGAACTCAAAGGTGCTCTACCACTGAGTTATGTATGTATGTCAGCTCTTTTTATTTTATTCTGAGATATGCTCTCACTAAGAATTTCAGGTATGTACCACCCGCTAGCTACAGACAGCTCTCTTGAGGATCAGTTAATTCAGTATCTGTAGCACATTATTGGGCACTCATCTCCCTTTCTCTGTCTCTATTCCTCTTGATCTCTCTCTAGTAGTTAGTGTGTAGTCATGGTGGCTAATCAACTCTTTCTGTATTTGTTCCAGTTTCATGGCTTCTTTGTTTCATGCCTTATTAGACTAAAAATACATAACCTGTATTTCATAGGCAGAGAAAGAAATATTTAGTAGAATAAAAAGCACTCATACAAAGGTAAAAACATGTAATCATAAAAAGTCCTATTTAGAACCTGGAGTGTACATCTTAATATAATAATATTTCTATGTTCACCTTTGTCAGAATAATCATTCTCTGCAAAAGGAAGTCATTGTTTCTCCTGTGTAGATGAAAAAACTGAGTATCTGTGCTTTTGTGTTATTTATTTCTAAATCATTAAAGAAAATACCATTCCCTAGAATCTTTTTCTAGGATTTCATGCATTTTAAAACTAACAAACACTGTTAGATCTTCCCTTTTTTAGTGGATTCTTTTAAATCAGCTCCCTTTGTATTTGTCTTTCTATAGAAAATATTCTAAGGCACAGTATTTTTTTTCCTCTGTGCAGCTTCTGTTAGTTTTTTTTTTTTTTTAAAAAGATGGAAGAGAATTTAAGAATACTGTAATCTACCTTATTTTACAGGGAAAGAAACTGATCTATTTTAATGTAGCATATCCTATACTATATAAAGTGTTTTGCATTTTGAGACAGATATTTGAATAAACAATGAATAAATACTAAATCTGGGTTTATCATCATGTGGTATTTGTAAACTTCCTATTCAAATAACAATGTTTTACATGATCATTCTCTTCTTTAAAATATTCATTTTAAATGCAAATTGTATTTGTGTAGTTAAGCTAATGCAGAATATCACTGTTGGAGTTTATTAATAGATCACTTTTAAGTTTAATTCATTTTTCTCTACATATAAATTAGCTTACTAACTAGGCACCATGGCACGTTCCTGTAATCCCAGTGGCTTGGGAGGCTGAGGCAGGAGGATTGCAAGTTCAAAGCCAGCCTCAGCAACTTAGTGAGACTGTCTCTTARTAAAAAATAAAAAGGCTGAGGATGTGGCTCAGTGGTTAAGCAACTCTGGGCTCCATTCCTAGTACCAAAAAAAAAAAAAAAAAAAAGCTTACCAAAATAAGTACTGCTTATTCCCTGTCAGGTAAATACATTGATTTGGTCTCTTTCTTTTCTAGGTTGGGAATGGGTTCCATGGGAAGAATTTCCTCCAGTAGACCAACTTTTCTGGGCCCTCCGTTGTTTAAAGAAGCAAGGCTATGATCCATTTAAAGAAGATTTGAACCATCTGGTAGGATACAAGGGAAATAATCTCTAGGTGCCAAGAAGACTCCTTGATTTTATTTTTTAAAAGACAAAAATAAGGTCTAGTTAGGGAATGAGGATACAAGGGAAATAATCTCTAGGTGCCAAGAAAACTCCTTGATTTTATTTTTTAAGACAAAAATAAGGTCTAGTTAGGGAATGTAAAATACATACATTTCAGAACAACTTCATTTTATCTAAAAATGTTCCATAAGATTGCCAGTTTATTTGCATTCTCTTAAATATCTGCTTGGGAAGATCTTTCTGAAATAGGTCATTGTAGTGTATTTCAGACACAGAATGTAGGATAAATAGGGATATTGTGGTTAATCTGCTTTCCATATTTATCTGTGATATTTCCTGTGGTTTGTCATTACAGTTTGCATGGTATAATTACAATGGAACTTACCTTATAAGTGTTTCAGTTCAAATTCAGATATAATTTAAATTCAAACAGTATATCTATAGCAGGATTTATTATGTTTGTTGATTTCTCTTTTTCATTAAAAAACCTTTTTTTGGTACTAGATTGTGACAACTTTGTAACTAAAGAGAACAGGATAGGCCAATAAGGCATATTTCCCAGGTTCCTGATTGAGAACCTAAACTAAGAGAAGTGAGACAAACCATCTAAGATCTGTACCCTGCCATTAACATGCATGTTGTTGTGAGTGTGTCACTTCCTCTGCTGAGATCCAGTAGGCTTATATGTAAAGTGAGAGTACTTTAGGGCAGTGGCTCTTAAACTGTGGTCTAGGTGGGTCCTCAAGAACCTTTCAGRGTATTCAAAGCCAAAGCTATTATTATAATACTAAGATATCATTTAACTTTTTCACTCTCATTCCTTTATGAGCTTACAGTGGAGTCTTGCATAGTCTGCTTGATGTGTGATATGGTTACAGACTACGTGTTAAAGCAGATATAAGAATCCTGCTTTTTAATATGAAGTCAGATATTAAAGGTATTTGCAAAAATGTATGACACTGTACTTACTAATGATTTTTTTGTTTTAGAAAAAGTTATCTTTCAAAAAATTATGTTAACATATATTAGGTTTTTATTTGAAAATGATTAATAAAAATTCAAATTATTTTGTTTTAATTTCTAATATGATAAATATCTCTAGATGGGATAGATATAATAGAACAGTGTTTCAGTTGAAATAGAAATCTTACAAAACAAAAGAAAAAATCCTACAAAAACAAAATCTCTTTAATTTTTAAAAGTATAATGGAGCTGTGTACAGTGGCGCATGCCTGAATCCCAGCAGCTTGAGAGGCTGAGACAGGAGGAATAAGAGTTCAAAGCCAGCCTCAGCAAAAACAAGGTGCTAAGCAACTCAGTGAGACCCTGTGTCTAAATAAAATATAAAATAGGGCTTGGGATGTGGCTAATGGCCAAATGCTTCTGAGTTCAATCCCTAGTACCCCCTTACCCTGCCAAAAAAAAAGTACAAATGGATTGAAAACCAAAAAATTTGAAACTTCTGGATTAGACCATAAGATCATATCCTTTATGAACCCACTTCTTAAAATCCTGTGCTTGTCTTTTAAGTTTACATTTGAATTTTGCGCTTTCAAAAGRTTCTGGTATTTCTGCTACACGGGAATCTTTTTCTAGTCTGTGAATATCATTTTTAAGTTCTTTTTTAAAATATTTTTTTGTTATAGATGGACACAATATCTTTATTTCATTTATTTTTATGTGGTGCTGAGGATGGAACGCTGTGCCTCACGCATGGGAGGCAAGCGCTCTATCACTGAACCACAACCCCAGCCCTTAAAGTTCTTTTTTTAATTGTTGCTTTTTCAGAATTTTACGTGTATATAATTTAACATTTATAAACCTCATTTTCTGTGAGTTGTAGCTTTACATATTTTTGATGTCAGAATGTTTGAGGAGTTCAAGTTTGATAAATGCGTATTCCTCAGCTTTAGACACACTGAATTTTGCACAATGGAAAGTGTCCATTTTTTTTTCTGTTTGAGTATATTTGTTGGTATATTCTTTGTCTAGTTTGGTTTATAAATGAGAACTCCTAGAGAGGGTTCTCAGATAATAAATGGCAGTGACTAAGAGGGTATCAGGGCATGAGTGTCTAAACTTTGTGCATAAGGCCTCACATGAAGATTGCTATTCAGCTGCCAGGGAGCAGGTTCTTGAACCTGTCTTCTAACAAATACCCAGGTGATTTTGGCAAGGCTTGTGGCTACACTTTGAGAAATACGACAATTAAGATAGCAGCCATTGTACTTTGCACAAGTCTAACTTTCTTAATATGAGGTGTGCTTTGCTAAAGGCAGCTCCAGCTTACTAAGCACAGGAAACTTTTGACACTTGTAACAAAATCACATTATAATAACTTTGATGAAATACCAACATTACTAATTACATTTCATCAAAAAGAGTATTCTGTGCACATAGAACTTAACAGGTTAGAATAAGACTGAGCAGAGGAAATTTGGAAAAAGTCCATTCTTTTTTATTTTTATTTTTTTGGTACTGGGGATTGAAGTCAGGGACACTCGACCACTGAATCACATCCCCAGCCCTATTTTGTATTTATTTAGAGACAGGGTCTCACTGAGTTGCTTACCACCTTGCTTTTCCTGAGGTTGGCTTTGAACTCCCGATTCTCCTGCCTCAGCCTCCCGAGCTGCTGGAATTACAGACATGCGCCACCATGCCTTAAAGCACTTAATAGCAATGCCTGAGAGTATTTTCATACTAATGTGAAACAACTGTGTTTTCAGTGACAGAGAAATGATTAACCCTCATTGTTGACTTTGTAACTATTCTATTTGACACACTTTTTTCCCTTTCAGAAATATTTCTTTTTTCAGACTTGCTACACACAATAGAATCAAAGGCAGGATCAGGAATACTCATTTTGATAAAAGTATAATGTTCGTGAGTCTTGGACTTTTCCTTTTAAGTACTCTAGGATCAAAGGTGAATGTTTTAGCATGGGAAAAGCAGCACACCAAAAGCATGACATTTCTTGCTTTTTTTTTTTTTTCTCTTTTAGTTGAAGATGGACATAATACCTTTATTTTATTTTTATGTGGTGCCAGGGATTGAACCCAGTGCCTCACGGCATGCTAGGCAAGCACTCTACCCACCACTGAACCACAACCTGGCCCCTCTTGCTTTGGTTTTAAAAGTTTATGAAAACTTTTGATTACACTTCATGAGAGACCCTTGTGATCAACTATAAAAATTTTTATCATAAAATATAACATTAATCATAGTTATTTTCAATATTTTATTTTTTAGTTGTAATTGGACACAATACCTTTATTTATTTATTTATTTATTTTTATGTGGTGCTGAGGATCGAACCTAGGGCCTTGCATGTGCTAGGCAAGAGCTCTACCGCTGAGCCACAACCCCAGCCACATAGTATATATCTATTTATTTGCTTTTGAATATTTTGCTCGTCTTTTCCATAACTCTTGGGAGGTATATTTTTACCTTCTTTTGATAAACAAACTTATTACAGTAACTGTTGAATTTGAAACTTGGTTCTTTTTCATTATACTTAAAATTATCTGGATTCATTTTATTTATTTATTTACTTATGTGCTTGTAATCTGTTTTTCCTGCTGTTTCATAAGTTCCAGGAAGGCAGGCTTACTCTTATTCAATTCCTTACCCTCAGCATGTAATGAAGTGCCTAAAGCATAAGAGGTGCTCTAATTTACAATAAATGAATGAATGATTGAATGGCACCTCTGAAGGCACTAAGCTACATCAGGTATGGCAAATATTCTTTCTCACTGACTGCTCCCAAAATCAGCCTAGGAAGCCTTTTCATTGGGAAAGGACACATAATTGAAACCTGTTCCATATCCCTGAAGTGCAGGACCTCAAAGATCTCTAATGCTAATATTCTTTGATTCCATGAAACAGAAGATATTATAGTTTGGATTGGAAATTTCCCCCCCCCCCCGAGGTTCCTACGGTCCCTTGTGCAGCAAGGTTCAGAGGCGGGGCTTTTAGGCCTCATTGGTGGACTACTGGGAGGCGGGACCTAGTTGAAGGAAGTAGGTCATTGTGTGTAGATGTACCCCGGAAGGGTCCATCTTTTCCTCAACCCCTTCTTTTCTCTCTGCTTCCTGGCTGCCGTGAGCTGAGCAGCTTCCCTTCCAAATGCCTTCTGCCATGATGTTTCTGCCTTGGTGTAGCTGTTCATGGACCAAATCCTCTGAAATCATGAGCCAAAATAAACTTTTCCTTCTCTAAGTTGTTCTTGTCAGGTATTTTGATTACAATGACAAAAAGCTGACTAACAAAAGGTAAGGTAGCTAAGATATTTAAAAGTGAGATTCAAACAAAAGATTTAGGAAAAGTGTGCCTCTTTTAAGGAGTGTAAGAACCACTTTCCTTTAAAAGATCCTGAGATCAGTTGTTTATACAGGGGAACTCAACATGCAAATATATGTATAATAAAATGAAATGTAAAATTTTAAAAAACATGTCCAGGGGCTGGGGTTGTGGCTCAGTGGTAGAGCATTCGCCTAGCACATGCGAGGCCCTGGGTTAGATCCTCAGCACCACATAAAAATAAATAAATAAAGGTATTRTGTCCAACTACAACTAAAAAATAAATATTAAAAAAAAATATGTCCAGGTACATTGGCACACACTAAATCCCAGCAACTCAGGAGACTGGGGCAAAAGAATCACAAGTTTAAAGCCAGCCTAAGCAACTTAGCAAGACCCTATCTAAAAATAAAAAGGACCGGGATATAGCTCAGTGCTAAAGCACCCCTGGGTTCAATTCCCAAAAATAAAAACCAAATATCTCAGTAAGTTAAACATTCTTTAAACATTTAGTAATTTATATAGGCTCTTAGCCTATGTTATGTGCTGAATGAACTGTGTCTCACCAAAGATCACATGTTGAAGACCTAACCCCCAATATTTGAGAATGTGATTATATTTGGAGGTGAGATATTGAAAGAGGTGATTAAGTTTAAAATGAGGCCGTTAGGATGGGCTCTCTTCCATTCTGACTTTTGTCCTTATCAAAAATAATCTGAACACATACAAGAGTCCAGATGTATGTGTGTAGATAAAAGACCTATATGAAGATGCAGCGAGATGGCAGCCACCTGCAAACCAAGGAAACAGGCCCCACATGAAACCAACCCTGCTGACACTTTGATCTTGGACTTCTGAACTTCAAAATTGTGAGAAAATAAACTTCTGTTGCATAAGCCACCCAGTCTATTGTATTTTGTTATGCACCCTTTGCAAACTAATACAGGTAGCCTAAATCTCGCAGCTCTGTTCAAAGTATTATAATAGAATCAAAAAACATTCCTTCCATGTCTGCAATCCTGAATTGGAGTTTTGGCAACATCAAAGCTTTGAGAAGAGTTCAAATTTTTCCATTCCCTGGCATTTAAACACAGGGAATGGGAGGAATTTTTGCTATGGAGTTTTTTTACAAGAAAACTTTACACATACCAGAAATAGAAAATAATACAGTGAACCCCCACATACCTATAACCCATTCAACAAGTACCAACATTTGCCTTATTTACTTCATCTGTCACCTTTCCATTCCTTTTTTCTTATAGTACTGACTTTCTTAATATTTTATTGACTGTATAATGAAATGGTGAAATTTATGTATTATAAATTAAAGCTAATTTGTATTGGTAAATACAAAGTAAACAAAYTGAACTGAGGTAAAATATTTATGCTCTCAGAATTTCAAACCAGAATACTTGTTTTATGGCATACTAAATTGACCAATCTAGAAACAAGTTTTTGCAGACTTGTTTTCAATTCTTAGACATATACCTAAAAGTGGAATTTCTGGGCCATACCATTTAACTGTTAACTTTTGAGGAATAAACAAATGTTTACCAAAGTGACTGCCCCATTTTATACCACCAGCCTAACCCCCCCCCTTTCTTTTTTTTTTTTTTTTTTTGCCACTGTGACTGTGACCAAAAGAACTGACAAGAATAATTTTAGAGGAGGAAAAGTTTATTTGGGGTTCATGGTTTCAGAAGTCTCACTGTTGCTGTGCCCAGGGCAGCACATA